GGCATCTACGATGACCTTAGCTTTTTACTGGGCGCGAGCTGGAGCTGAAATCCAAGAATTTCTCAAAATGAACATTCGCGCAATCATTGCTATTTGTGTACACTGGTTTTTCCCCTTTTTGTAATAAATCTTAAACCTGGTTTCCATTGGCCTCACGAGTAAGTTTTTAAATATTACTTGAAAAATAAAGATTGAAGATCTTTGAAACCTTACAAGGTTTCGTTAATTTCAAAACAAGGTCCTTTTGAGATGATTCGTCAAAAATAAAAGTTGTGGAACGACTTTCCCTAAATGTTCCCTACCAAACACTGTTTCGAAAAATACAAAAATTATAGGTCACCTACGCGCAAAAGAGATATGATGGGCCAGTCTTAACCAGTTTATAACCAACGCGCGTTATTTCATCGATTTACGTTACATTTTGCGGTAGCTGGAAGCAAAGATTTTTAAAGACATATGTAAAAAAAATATATATATATATCTCAACGACATTGACTCAAAACTTTCCTGGAGTCATAAATTTGCATCCTCGAGTAACGGTTTTGTACACGCTTTAAGCTATATCTTTTTTTCCTTCCGAACATTTGTTTTTTTTAATTTGCTTTAACTTAAAGAGGGTGATTTGTGCACCAAAATTATGTAATAAAAATTCGGGCGCAGTAGAGATGCGCAATGTAATTCTGAGGAATCAACTTAATGGTCGGTGATCCCATTTTCCTTTTCATAGATCACTTCCTCTATTGATTTTCTCCATTTTAACAAGGAACAGCAAAAATCTGTAAGTGAGAAGTAACAAATATTTCGCCTTTTCTGCCCTCATGCGTTGGGACGTTTTCTTCGAATGTGGAGTGCAAGACTAATGTGTATTAGTATCACCCAACTAGTGGACTAATGCAAATCCTGCATTTTGATTGGCTACGCTACTAGAGGACTATTAGCAATAGTCCTCGNTCGCCCTCAAGGGCCACGGGTCAATAGCCCATTCGGCTTCGCCTCGTGGGCTATTGACCCGTAGCCCTTGCGGGCTACGGGTCTAATTGTTAATTATTCTTTTTCAAGGCCTATTCTACCTCAAGGAACGACACTACCTGCCAAAGTTTACTTAATAGACTTATTTGTTTTGAATTAAGTACGTTTATCTGATTTAAATATCACTAATGCAGCTTCTTTTATTGCTGATAGTTGTAAACTAAGCTAAGAAGGTCTCAAAATAACGAAAGCTTCTAAAAACGCATGGTCTTCAATGTGCCTTATCTCAAAAAGAAGCATGTGAGCCCCCATCTTTTTTGCCTCTTTGGTAATGGTTGATCTTTGCCTTATCGCATGGCTAGTTTTAAGTTTGGTTTTCACTAGCGCATGAGCACGTCTCGTGGCATGAGCTTGACAACAAGTATAACCATTCGCGAGCGAGACCACTTGAAACATAAGCGTAAGCACTAGCTGAACGCTCATGTTTCGTTCTCTTCCTATGCTTCTGTTGTGCTTAGCTCGCGTGGAGAAAGCGGATGAAAAGTACTAGGATGTCGACTAATCATAACTCACTCTGACTCAATTCTCTGTGAAAATATCGCAAACAACATGGTGGACTGGGTCATATTGTTTAATCAATTAAAGGAGGCTGGTATCCATTGTCGTCAAAGAAGGTGACCGTTGTGGAGAAGCTCGACTGTATAACAATATACATATTTAGCCAAGCCTAAACGCGGAGCTCCCGGGTTATTTTTTTTTATCCTTACTGTTTACAGGATAAAACAATTTTGTTTTCTTTTTTGTTTAACCTTGCCGAAAGTATTCAAATATAAAGAAAACCAAACCAAACCAAATCATCGATCAAAGTGAAACAACTGCGTCATCAGTCTCTACTTAGTTCCAACAAGAGTTAATGACAGCAACATCACGATTTGAGGTCGAATTAAGCTGCGGAAAGGGGGATGTTATGTAGCTCTTGTTGTCTTGCCTGCTTGCTGAAAGCTCAATGCCAAGAGGAAAAAATTGGCTGGTCTTCTCTAGATTCTTTCATTTCCTGCATTAACTGGGTGGAACTTTAACAAAAGGAACTCACAGCTTAACTTGGAAACATTTGCAGCTAAAATTAAACTACGCATCTCAAGTTATTTACGTACGGCCATGCATATAAAGAGATTTATAGCATGATGGCTCAATAGGGATAATATAGGACCAGTATGTGCGCTATGTCATGATATTATTTTTTAGAAGGACATAGTGTGTGAGAAAATAACCGTTATTGATCACCAACACAAAGAAATGTGGTCGCTATATGGAAACTATACCAGAAGTTTTGGTTGCCACGAAAATTTGAAGTTGGTTACCCAACTTTATACTGGAAGCCGTTAATTAAGCCGACGTTTACGCTACGTTGCTTGAAGTTAATGTAACCTTAAATTGGCGTAAAGTTTGCAAACATAAGGAAGTTAAAGCCAAGAGCTTAAACTTGGCTTAAAAGTCTTTTTAAGCCAACTTTAAACGTGAGCGTATACCTAGTGAAAAGGAGAGCTTGAAAAGAAACATTGCATCGTAAAGCTGGTTAACTTTAAAACTGAAGATAACTCTACAACAGCTTTACACAGCAGTAAAGGTTTCTTATGACGCTGTGGCACATTACAGGGGCGTAGCCAGGGTTTTTCAAAGAAGGGGGGGGGGGNCCACCTGTTGTAGGTTGTTTGAGGGGGTTACGGGCACCCCAGGATCTCCCCCCTAGCTACGCCTCTGCATTACACCGGGAAAATATCGGTAAATTATAGGTAATTGAGTTGACCAAAAAGTCTGTTAAAATTGGCGGGGAAGCTTAAATTGGATGCAATTGCACTCATTAAGAGAAAGCAAATTTTGAAGGAATAGATAGATATATATTGATTCAAATGAGACCTTGAGCTACTGTATTTTAATTCTAAGCTTTCGCTGTTCTACGGCATCATCAGGGAATGAAAGAAAATCTTCAATAGTGCGTGATATGAGAGTGGTGTACAGTAGCTCAAGGCCTAATTTAAATCAATATATCTATCTATTCCGAAATGCTACTGAAGGACAACTTCAAACGATTACTAATTTTGAAGGTTTTATTTAAAAATGGTTGCTATGGCAAACAACTACACCCTTTTGAGGTACGATTTGAAAGCATTTACGCAAACAGTTGTTGCTCTTTTGGAAAACAAAGATTTGACTTCATATCCTGTGAATTTCTGTTTCACCCTGTGTAATAACCTTTCAAAGTAGCAATGTTGCTGTTCAGTGACCAATATTTTACATTAGAAAACAGGCCTAAGAAAATACTCGCGCTGATTGGTTAAAAATCGTGTTTCTACAACTCGATGGAAACACAGAACTAGCAATTTACATTTTGATGATCAAAGTAAAAAACAAGCTGTTTTTCTTTTTTTCCTCGCGGTGTTTTCTAAAAGAAATAGAAAATATGTTCTCCGTGTTTCTATCGAGTTATAGAAACACTCGTGAAAGTTTGGGAGAACTTGAAAAAACTGTGGAAACACTCGTTTGCGGCTTGTGTTCCGACAGCATTTCTCGTTCTCCCAAACTTCCACGCGTATTTCTATAACTCAATAGAAACACGGTACTTGTTTCCTATTTCTTAATTATCGACTCACAGTTATATTAGCAATATTTGCCAAATTTTAAGAAAAAATGAGCAAGGGAGGGGGTTGAGAACGACTAAATGTTTTCAAGCATTTAAGGTGGCTACGACTACGCTACCATGACTGTCTAGGGCGGAAAAAGAAACCCGACTACATTGACGTTACGTTCTGAAGCTCTCTTCCAGTGCTGGATGAAAATCGTAGTGTTATCTATTTGAAACAAACCTGCAATCTTGGCCATTTTGAATTAAGAAACTCTCTCTTCCCCGCCCACCCACCCCTACACATATGAACTGGAACAATTGACATGCGTTTGGTTTTAGCGCGAGTTTATCAAGAATGCCGGGGGAGGAGATCGTTAAATTTCTTATTTTATTCAGTCCGAACCTAATGATGGATTGTAGCAATCCCGAATCACAGCCGGTTTATTAACTTTTCAAATTGTCCACACGTGAGGTGAATATGACCACTCATATCTATGTAGCAGATATTAATAAGGTCGTATTTTTCTTGAAATAGGGTGATATCAATTTATGTTTTCTTATCCTTTTTATTTGAGCGCAGGTTTTCCTTTGTCTAACCTTTTGACTTACTGGCTTATATTCTGTCATTTTTTTATGCGTGAAAAATAAGCCATTTTTCCCTCTGTTTCAAGACGAGTTCCGGTGCACGACCTTTCATATGGAAATGGAGTTTGATTTGCAAGACTGATGAACGTGCAAGAAAATGAAAAGTTGGGCAACAAGAATGTTTTGAAACAGAGATAGAAGCAACTCGCAAATGGCCGATTGAGAGGGGTCCTTTTCAAATGCACCGGCAGATCAGGTGGGCGGAATTAGAAGTTTTAATGATCTGTTTCTACAACTTAACGCTATCATGTTTAAGTAACGTTTGCCACGTTTTATCCGGCAAACTCAGCGCGTTTGTGATATCTATTAGTGCAGAGCGAACATTGTACTGTAATTTTCGACAAACTGTTGTGTAACGTTTGCGAATTTGAAGTAGTCAAGCTTATCTAACTGCGTAAATCTGAGAACGAAGCGATTTCCGGCCCGATTTTTCTGGACGTCATGCTTATGTAATAAGAATTGCGCTGTAAGCATCTGAGAAAGGAACCCTTGAAATCGTTGGGTTGCGATATTTCATGATTTTGCCAACCTCTGAGTATGTTGCTTTCTTAAACTTATTTACAAGAGAATTACAAATTTGAAGACATTTAAATAATTCACATTTAAATGCTTGATAAGCAATTTGAAATCGATTGAGTCTCTAGCTTTACGTCAATGGGTCGCCAACTGAAAAAAAAAAAAAAAAAAANAGCAATTTGAAATCGATTGAGTCTCTATCTTTACGTCAATGGGTCCCCAACTGAAAAAAAACAAAAAAAACTGAACGGAACCAAATGGCGAGCAAGAACTTTCGATCCTGACCTGGTTGTGAGCGATGCTGAATAAGGAAATCTTTAATCAAGTACTGAACTGATACGGTCTTTATTTGATTATCCCAGGGGGGAAAAGCTTTTATCTTTAATTCAGATTAGGCTTGGCCCGGCTTCACCGGCTCACACACCCCTTGCCATACGCACATCGTTCAGAAGGAAGATAAATGTAATCATCGTTAACCAGCGGGAACAACACTTAACGCCCACATCCCGGAATATAAACCCAATTAGCTCTGTCACGTATGCTTTGGAATATCCCGGCTTTCTAGAAGTCGATTTAAGCTAATTCTCTCAACAGTACTGTACTATATATATGGAGATTACTTAGGAGAATTTACCTGTCGGTGTCAGGACCTGAACAGAATGAAACGTCTAACCTAATTTTTTCAATCGGCACGGTGCGAGAGTTACGCGCAATTTTCGCGCGTGGGAATATCACGCAAACAAAACTAACCCCATTGGCGCGAAACGATTTCTTATTTGCCTGTTTCTTTGTTTGTTTGTGTTTTGATCTTTTGAAATTAGCAACATCAGACTGAACCTAATTATTTCTAGGGGCGCTTTGTGCTTCGATTTACGAGACGTTTGTACTATATAGATGAACTCGAAAGCGAGCTCTTTAATGCCTAGCAATATAAAGAGAAATATGTAATTAGACCATGCCTGGAAAGCAAAGGCACTTATCGTGTAATAAAAATACGTCGTTTGTACATTGCCACACCGTCTTTAGGAGGGGCCCTGGAAACCACAATCAGTGTGTTATTTGTTATTATAGGAACAACTAAATACCTAACAGTACATTTCTCATTTTATTCCGACTCAATCAGTGTTAGTTTATTTGTTGTTCAACTTATTCATATGTGTACTGAATATGACAACTGATGTATTTTTTTCCTAGAAATAGACTATTATATATTTTTTTTCCTTATCACATTTATTTGAGTGTAGGTTTTCCTTCGTCTCACCTTTTGATGGTATCCTGCTTTTTGCGCATGGTAAAGATCAAGCGGTTAGATTTAAACTGCATGCGTCAGTGATTTGTATGTAAAACGGTTTGGTCGTTATCAATGTTTAAGTAACGTTTCCCACATTTGATCCGGCAAACAGACTGTGTTTTTAATTAGCGATCGTGAAAGTGTCAAGAAGTAATTCCTTGATTTTTTTGACAAACCGAACATTGCAATTTTACGTCAATGCGTTAAATTAAAAATAAATAAATAAATAAAATTAACGGAACACAATGACGAGCAGGAACTTTCGAGTGCACGATAAACCGATTGATATACCTACGGTCGTCAACTTCGCTGAATAAGGAAATCTTTAAATACTGAACTGATACGATCTTGATTTGATTATCTTGATTAGGCGGGGCTAAGCCAAGACACTCCTTTACCGGCCCAACTCCTGAGTCATACGCACTTCTCCGTACGAGGAAGATATAAAGTTAACTAACTTGGTCACGCATGGGTTGGTATATCCCAACTTTATACAATTCGATTTAAGCCGATTCTCCCAACAGTACTGTGATATGTGTATGACTTCTACTCAGGAGAATTTACCTGTAGATGTCAGAGCCTAAAAAATGAAACTTGTAGCCTGATGTTGTACCGGCACGGTGCATGAATCACGCGTATTTTCCGCGCGTTGGGAGCATCACGCGTAATCTTCTTGCGTGACGTGCTCCGACACTAAATATACTTATAGCTATTGGCGTTTCTTTCCATTTCCTTTTTGCTTTTCTGAAATTAGGAACTTGATTATTGTTATTTGGAGGCCTGCTTCGATTTTACGGGAGTTTTTATTTATTTATTTGTTTACCTAGACAACCTGAAAGCCGGTTCTTTCCTGATAGCAAGACAGAAATGTAATTATGTCATGACAGGAAAGCAACCCGATTATCGCGTAATAAAATTACGTTGTTTGTACATTTCTAGACTGTCTTTAGGTGTGGCCCCGGAAACCACAATCAGTGGGTTATTACCACGAATAACACAGTAAACACCCACAGCGCTCCCGGGCGAGAATGAATGCTTTATCAATGGTTTGAAAGTCGTTGGTCTTAAACCACGGGAAACGGATGTCGCCAATTGTAATAAGAGGGTCGTTCCAACACAGGAAAAGGTTGGGACTATCCTGGAACAGGAAAACCACTCGACTACATAGGTCTGAAGACGTAAAACTGAAAGACGTCATCCGCAAACCTGGTGCTCCAGCTATGCTGAGTCATGTCTCCTTTGAGTCAAAGCTCAAAAGATTAAATTCCTTACTTAAAATTTAATTTACTTTTAATATAGTTTTAGTTCTGAAGTTTTGGAGGTAGTCCAAGTCAGTTTAATTAATCTATCATGGTATAATGGTCACAATCAGTTATGCTGAAAGCCGTTTGTTTAAACGCTGAAAACTTTTTGGCATGCATATTTACATTCCTAAGATGAGCTTTACAAAGAGGTAAATGTGACACAGATTTATCAAGTTTATGAAAAAGCTATTAACTTTTATTTTATCATAAATCGCCTTGGGCCTAATGCAACTTAACCTGCGCCCCTTATAAGCTAGCCTCTCTCAGATCAAGGCTTTGTTTGAGATCGGTTTAACAAGTTGCCAAAATTTTCAACATTTTTAAACACAAATTATTCAAGAAGTGTCGGTTTTTTTACATGCTTGAGTTCCGTTCTTAACAAACTACGCGAATATTAAACTTCCGGAACTGATAAACTTGTAAAATCTCGCCAGTTTAAGCAAAGGAACAAATGGCATTGTTGTCGTTTCAGATCAACTTTTTAATGTAATATTCACCTCAGTTAAACTATTTTAACTTTTTAACGCTTAGAAAATCCTGATTTCGCTAGCGTGATCAAACAATGTAATTTAAAGATGTATAGTTTAATAAGCAATGTGTGTATTGAAACATGTTTTGATAATGATCTTACAACTACTTAGTGAACAAAAAAGGCCCTTTTTATGCTGCTGTATACAATGTGAAGCAGCGTGGGTTATGCATCCAACAGTGAAATTACAATACATACACGAAGAATACCAAATCTTTTCTCTAAATTCACGTTTTTGACCCAGTAATCGCCAACTCTGACCTCGTGTTATATAAAAAAAAATATGGCAAGATTGAAAGTTTGGAGTCCTCAATACAAGCGTTCATTTCTAGCAGTAAGTTTCTCGCGAGCTGTTGAGTGCATTTTTCAAAGTTTCAGAGCATGAAGTGGAGTGGGATAAAGCATTCCATTGTCTAACATAGTTCATTCTTAAATGGTGATCATTTAGATGTCTCGATTCGCCTTCGGGCTTCAAACTAATTAACATACTTGTAATCGACTGTTGCGGTTTTTCGTGACCAGTGCTGAAAGACTCAGTCTTTTGCAAGGGAAGTCCATTTAAAGTCGTTATCTTTCCTTGAAACTGTTTGTTCGGTTTGGCTTGTGATCCTGTTGTCTGTTCACAGACTTGAATAGAAAGAAATGTTAAGTTGCTGTTTTTTCTATACTTCTCGCAATCCACTGTGTTTGACTCCGTCGAGTCCGATCCAGTTTTTGTTATGCTTTGAAACTGTAATCGCTCAGTACTGTCCTTCAAAGCGGATCTCTCGCAGCAGATAATGCTCTTAAAAATTCTCGTGAATCCTTTGCGAAAATCTTTGCTGAAGACTCCAAATATGACGGGATTAACTACGCAGTTGGTGTATGTAAACAACCAGCAGATGATGGAAAGTTTGGTGAAATTTGGGCTGTTAATACCTCCGCCAAAATCCGCCCATAACCACACGACTTGGTTCGGAAACATAAAGATAGCAAACACGACAACGACGACCATAAACATCTTCGTCGCTTTTGCATTTGGAGTGCTCCAGATACTCCGGGTTCTGAGAACGCCGAGCCTTTTAAACACAGAATTGGATCTAAGTACTCCTCGCTGCGTTTTTCTTTTCTTAACGTCACTTTTAAGTTTCTTGACGATGAAGCGCGCTGAGTTGGCGCTGATGGAATTCGCGCGTGTTCGTGCCGAAGTGTTACAAAGCGCGCGGACAGCCAAGGTGTACATAACTATCATGAAAATTAGTGGTAATCCATATTGAACGAGAAACAAGAAAAAAGTATAAGCTTGTCTGTAGGTAAATTTGGGCCAGTTCTCCTCACAGGACCCGTTTGTGAGTGCCAGAACATATCCGTACGGAGTCACCGCCGCAAGCGAAAAAACGTGAACCAGGCAGATCAAGATGCAAATTTGTCTCATAGACAGTCGTATCTTGAACGGGTGCATTATAATTCGGTAACGGTCTAATGATATCGCTGCGAGAGTCAGAGAAGATGCACAAGTGAAATAAGTTTGCGCTGGCCATAAAACTTTGCACATGGCTCCTCCGTAAATCCATTCGTAGTTGTTTTCTTCCAGGACAAAATCAAACACAATGCTTATCAACGGCGTCACCAAATCACAAATGGCCAAATTCAAGACCAGAAAATTGGACGCGGTGCGCATTTTTCTGGTGTTGTTGATTATGTGCGCGACCATGCTGTTCCCGAAGGTGCTCGCAGAAAGGATAAGAAAATAAAAACAGATCTTTGTGATCTTGAAGCCCGTCGATTCTCCTTGTGCTTCATCTGGCATTACAGTTGGAACACTTCCATTTCTTTCGAGAGTTACGTTTTCGTTCATGTCGCGATAATTCGTGGAAACCACCAACGCAGTGATTCTGAATAGCTCAACTAACTTTTCAAGATATGAAAATAAAAATTCACCTTTTATCTGAAGGCGGAGTTACCGTTTGACTTGATTGACGATTGCAATCTGTCCAAACAAATTAGAATTTTAGGAAAAAGGTATCTTTTAAGCCCACGTCTCCGCTTTAATCTCCAATCTCGAGTGGGTATCACGCATGTTCATGAATGCATGCCAGAGTCTCGTTTTTAGATGCCCACCCGAGATTATCCAAGTGACATTGTGCTAAATGAGTTCGTCATTTCTATTTATACAATTGCTCTGCGGGGACTCAATTTACGCGACAGGAAACAAGTTGACCTCCAGCTTCCTTGTCGCTTCTTGTATAAAGGTGCATCGAATTGTCCCTGTTGAGAAAGTTCTGTTGAGCTTTTCCTGGGAATCTTTAAACTATTTGTTAAGGCGATAACAGACTCCTTGAGGTAAATCGCATCCAAGTGATTTTAATCTTTTCCAATAGAAATTCAACGTTAAATTAAGAAACAACTGGAGTCTTAAAAGAGAAAATAGTAGTTTAAACAAATACTGCTGTTATAATGCCTCTAGCGCACGCAAGGTTTAATACCGTCAAGGGTTTTATGGGTTTGGTTTATATTACTAAGAAGGTCTTTAAGTTGAGAAAAAGTCAACTTGTAACACTGCGACCTTTGGTTTATGAGGTGGACGTAGTGTGAAATTCTTCGGCTGACTCATACACCTTAATCTTTTTCTGAGTGAAAGAAGTAGCATCCTTCACTTAATTGTTGTATTACTCATCTGTTTTATAATCACTATGATTTTCCAACTTGAAGCTTAATGACGGCTTGCGTGATGCACTAGGGATAACAGTTATAACATCGATAATCTCTGCTAATTCTTGTGCTATTTTTACTCATGAGTCTCAGGCAAATTTTAATTTAGTTTTATGGCTTTCAGTCACGGAAATGTTTCTACGAGCCGTGGATGTCAAGTTTTTCATTACTGTTCCATCCAAACAACATGTTTCCCCACTTTAAAAGGTTTCTTTTAAATTATTTATAAACATTGGTGCGTCTATTAAGGATTTGAAATTCCACCTGCATTATATCAAATGTACCACAAAACAGAGGAAAGTTTTATTCGACAAACGCTGAGGCATTTTAATTTTCAGTGGAATTTTGATCCTCTGGAATTGAATCGGTAACAGGCTGAGAACAGATGACATATATCATTCCTATTTTGTTTTTGTTTTTTTTATGATTGATGATAAATGAGCTATACTGTAAAAGGGAGCATAACCCCTTTGTCGCACTTCACTTTTTACTGATTCTTTGTGCAGGCTTAATTTCAAGTTCTAATCCACGACTAAATTGCCAACATTGTGTTTTGCCAAAATAAACTGTGGAGATTCACAGAAGAGACATAAAGCAAACTTTGAATCAACTACTGGACAAGGCAACGAATACAAGCAATGCAAACCAATAAAAGCTAACAAACACTGCGAAATTCCATACATAATACACAATTAGGCATAAAACGTAATGAGAAATAAAGAACTAATTAATTAGGAACATTTAAAAGTTGACTGTCACTATGATCACTGTACTGGCTTCGTGTTAGCTGCATGTTAAGTCCGCTTCATTTTAAAGCTTGAAATACTGAGACTCAAAGGAGTTTTTAGAGAGAAACACATAATCATATTTTACAAAGGTAAAAAACTACTATAATTACAACTTATTACAAAGGTACCACAAAGGAAAGATCTTGGTTAAGTCTGGGAAAGAATTCGAAAGGGCATAGAGAGCAGGAACCTGGCTTTAAAACAAAAACATTTCTTAAGATGGGTTATATATCCGTTGAGAAGCTAACTTTTTGGGTAGGGCCTGGTTTTGTGACCCTTGAAGTTGCTTCCCGTGTTCTTGAGTTGAGCCGATGTCCATAAAATATGTCTATAATGGGATTCTGAAGTAAGGAACTTGATATTCTAAAGAGTAAAAAAATAACTTTGTATTGTAAACGTAAACAAATTAAAGTCAATCATGTACAGTGTCATCAAAAATAAGGATCTTTTTCTTCTTTCGAGGACATACTGTCGATGTTCGCTATTTCTAAAGAGAGAATTTTATACGCAATAAAACAAGCGTTCTGGCGTCAACACACCAAGGTAATAATGCGTTTTGAGGACTTTTCAGCCGAATATGGGTTAGGCAATATGCCGGTCTCATACACATACAAATAACTTGAAAAGGCACTCTGCGAATTAGTTGTTAATGCAGACCGCAAGCTTTTGCCGCTATAAATCTCCCACGCTGCTATCATTACCATCTGCGATCAATTTAACGATACTCTTATGTTGAATATCTGATATGACGTATGTTTACTTTTCAACTTCCGTCCTAGATGTTACCGAGGGTTAAAACAACAAAAGTATTCCTAGTGGAAGGAAAATACACGAAAGAGATTTTGTTTCTGTTAAAAATGTTCAGGGTACGTTACAGCTCAGTGACTGAACATCAAAGCATACTTTGTGTTTATTTTCGGCATCTGTGGGACAGATGCCGGAGGAAACTTTGTTATTTTAGCTTAACGAGTGACGATCTGACCTCCCCCTGATGTGATGTATGTAAATGCAAAACACGAGAACAGTCACAAACCTCTAGTTCTTTGTCGTTCTTTATTATCATCGATCGGTCCATTCAGCGCTCCACAAGCAGACTACTCAGCCTATGCTTATTCGATTCAAAAACAACCGTGCAGCCGCAACAGTTAAGAGGCTGTCCGTGTAAGAACCGACCACTCGATTTTCGGCCGAAAACAGAATTTCTTCAAATTTT